TCTCTCTCTCAAATAAATAAGTAAAAAATCTTTAAAAAAAAAAAAAGATTAAAGACACTATTCCAGATTAAAGGAGACTAAACAGAAATGACAGTGGAATGCATCACTTCATTTCTAGACTGGATCCTGGACTAGAGGAAAAATGCTATGTAAAGGACATTATTGAGGTAATTGACAAAATGGGTGGTAAATGAGATACTGTGTTGCATTAATGTTAAATTTAGTGAAGTGGATAACTGTTTTTGTTAACTGTTTAGGGGTAAAGGAATGTGATCTAAGCAATTTATTCTCAGATAGTTCAGAATAAGTCACCTGTAACCCTTCATATAGATAAAGAATTAGTAATTTAACACGTGAATTTGGGATAGAGGACAGACAGATATCCATTGTACTATTCACTTTTCTATAACTTTGAAATTATTTCCAAATAAAAAGTCAAACCAAAAAATCCAGGCTCCTTACCATGGCCCACAAGGCACCTGCCACCACCCCCGGCCAGACTGTCCAGTCTTATCTTGACCAGTCATCATGGCCAGCATACTCAGCTCCATTGAGGTGGCTGCCTTACAGTTTCCCCAACATACCAAGTTCTTGCCCACGCCTGGGTCTTCATGCCCACACCTACTATTGCCTCTACATGGAATTCTCTTCCCCCCAACTCAGTTCTCAAGGATATAGTAATTATCATTTCTCAAAATGGCCTTTGACCCCCACTCCAACCTAATACAGACCTATTATATTCTTTCGTAGCTCCCTGAACTTTTCCTTCATGATACTTATCACAGTTTGTAAGATTTCGTATTTTGGGAGGATTCCTAATGCCCATCTTCTCTAGTAGCCTGAAAGCTCCCTAAACCCAGGGATCCCATCTGTTTCACCCCTGAATGTATCCTCCACCCCGCTACTGGACCTGACACACTGCTGGGCACTTAGGACACAGCGGATTAAATGATGAATTCCACCCTCCAAGTGCACCCCTAAATTGTTGGCAGCTCTCAGAGAACACACCCTACAGTCCACGTCTAGCTGCAGGAACAGATTCATGAGGCTGTCTGTGCAGGCTTCTTGGATTCCCTATCACTATACCAGTACTTGAAACTAAGAGGCCATGGTAAGGAAGAAGGGGAACTCAGAGGGAAGACTTATGCTAAGGGAGAGATGAAGAATTCAGCTGAGAGCCTGGAACCTCAGAGGGGGATGTCAAGGAGGCAGTTGGCTGGATCAGGCTGGTGCTCGGAGGGGCAGTTTGGATTAAAGAGATGACCAGTAGCTGAAGCTGTGGGCAACAGGAAGATCCTTCACAGACCTGTATGTGCAAAAGAAAGAGAAAAGAGTCCAAGGAATGGGGCTGGGAGGACCCAGACTTCAGGGCTGCGCAGAGAAAAATGTCTCTGGAAGCAAAGAAACAGTGTCTGGAAAAGTAGGAGTAATGTCGGGAGAGAGAGAGAGAGAGAGAGTTGTCACAGAAGATAAGCGAGGAAGCCAGTCAGGCGCCAAACTCCATACATTTGTGTTTCCTTTTTCCTTGTTCAAGCTCAGCACCTGGCATCTCATGAGCTGAGGTGGCCTGGTGGGGACTAAGGGCTTGGACTCTTGTCTCAAGACAAGAGGAATCTTGACTCAACCACAAATAGGCTGTGTGACCTTGGGCAATGGACTTAACTTTCCCAGACCCCGAGCCCCCGTCTGCAAAATGGGAGTAGTGCTAGTATTCTCTTTACAGGGCTGCTGTCAGGATTACAGAAGCTCATCTCTGGAAAGCCCTTTGATCCATGTTTGGTCTACCGTTTAGGGATGAATGAACATGATAGGTCATGCACAGCAGGGGCAAGGTGCACTGGTTCCAGCTAATAGGATCGTTTCCTGGGTTTAGTCAATGACAGGGCTTCAGACAATAGTCAAAGAGCCCCCTTGCCACCTTCTTTTCCACGTCCCCTTCCCCTGATCCAATCCCTATTAAACAAACCTATAGTGGGCAGGCTCCATTTAACACAGTCCTTTCTCCAAAGCCTCTTTCTGAAAATCATCCTCCCCCCCACCCCCCCAAGTGTGCCCCAAGTCAGATGATGCCAGAGTTTGCCCACTTGATCGCAACTAAACCCTGTTTTTCAGGTAACCATGGTAACCCCTCTCCCCCATACAGATATCTTCCGTGGATATCAGGAAGTAGCCCCAGGCCTCTTACTTGGAGATAGCTCCAATATCTGCCAGTAGCTTCTGACCATCCCATCTCTGAAGGAAAGGAAAGAACGTGGACACCACTTCACAGCTTAGAAAGCAACTCCACAACATAACCTCCCTTTTGTCCTCACGACAGCCCTGTGAGGTAGATACAGCAGACAATAACTACTCTGCTCCTCGTTTATCAAGCATTTACACTGTACCATGCTCCGTGTGAAGCGTTTCCATACGTGATCTCATTTAAACTCACCCAAATCCTATGAAGTAGGCTCAGCTTTTCCATTTTACAGAGGAGAAAAATGGGGCTCAGAGTGGCTAGAACTTGCCCCAAATCAAAGAGGTAGTAAGTAACAGATTCAAACCTCAGACCATCTGACTCTTAAAGCCACACTTTTAACCCTTCTACAATATCGCCTCACAAAACAAGTATATTATTTCCAGGCACCATCTTATCCATTGAATGGAAGCTCAGAGAGGTAAAATGACTTGCCCAAAGTCGCACACCCAGAAACTGGCAGAGCTGAGATCCACAGTTGGATCTTCTGGCTCTGAGGCCCCTGAAACCAGGAAGCACTGGTGACTGGGTCTGATGAGATACTAGGTAATTATTTCTGTAGCAGACTTGCCTTGCCAATCTTGTTCAGCCCGGAATAGTATTTCTATGCAGGAAGTCCTTCCTGACATTTTCTGGGAAATTTATGTTTTTCTGAATCCCAAGACCAATCAGTCAAGAGATTGGGAAAATCGGGAAAAGTGTTACAATTCTCCTGTGAGAATTCATGCTTAACAGTAAACATAGAGGCATTCCTGGTATGAAAGAATCACTGACATCAAGTAGAAAGCATGAGAAGGAAATGATGATATACGGAGTCCAAGATTAAGGTAAACATGTTGGGGACTTGGATCAGAAGGAGAGAAGTGGGGGTGCCTGGCTGGCTCTGTCAGAGGAGTGTGTGACTCTTGATCTCAGCTTCATGAGTTCGAGCCCCACGGTGGGTGTAGAGATTACTTAAATAAATAAATATTTGTTTAAAAAGGAGAAGTGGTCACAGTCTAATCATTCTTTTTCATAGCTGTTGCCATATCACAAGTGGATCTGTGGCCCTATCTGCTGTAAACAGTCATTTTCACAAACAGAGTATTAATCTGTTTACATGCATCATATATCTCATACAAATCCTATGAATGATGTTACAAGAATCTAATTTTGGAAACAAACTAGTCCTCAAATTGGCAATTTCAACACATACTGCTGTGTGGTACAGATATCTTGTTGAAGATTTAAACATTTTGTTACTCAAATGCTACCCAATAATGTTCTCTGGTATTTTTCGGTTTTTTAATATTTGCTATAGCCTACAGTTCTTTGTAACTACTCTTATTTATTAAAAAATACAGAAAGTTATGAAAAATACAGGATAGTATGATGTCAGGAATTCCCAAGAATTCCAATTTCTCATTTCCAAATCCTGAAGATGAGTATCTGTTGGGAAATTGGATACCCTAGCCCAGAGGAACTGGATGAACTTCCCAAGCAGCCCAGTGGGATGGCAAACTATGGAGAGTCCATCTTTCCTGGCTTCCAGGGAGTCTCTGCACAGGAGCAGGTCCTGGAGTAGAGCTTCCTTGGCCAACATCCCTCTAAAGGCAGAGGTCTGAGAAAAGGTTACTTCAGGGATCCATGGGCTGAGCCTGAAGCTTTGGTCTCAGTGTGAACTATCTGAAGGCTCAAATTTTCTGGCAATCTCATTCCAGAGAGCGCTTATTTTAGTATACAGTTTTATGTAATTGCTCCGTAATTGGATGCCCTGTCAAAGCTGCACCTTTTAACTCTTGTACCAGCAGGGGCGCTGCCGCAGGCCGGGCCGTGGAATCAGGCAGGCCGACCCGGGGCTGTGTGCTGCTTCCGTACATACTGGCTGTGTGAGGTTGGGCAGGTCCCTTAACCTCTCTGAGACTTAGTTTCTCCATCTGGAAAACGCCGATAATGAGAACGCCGGTGTCACTGGGATGTTGTGAGGATTAAATGAGATCATCACTGTAAATCGCAATCGCTGGCGCAGAGTAAGCTCTCAATAAACGGGAGACATAATTTCCTAATATGACAGGCCCAGCAGTGGACTTGGGAAGGAAGAGCTTGGTGAAAGCCCTTGGAACCACTCACAGGGCTCATGTGTCCCCGGCCTTCTCCAGGCGAGGATGTTCCAGGTCTCTGGGCTCTGTCAGAAGCCTCAGGCCCTCCCCACTAGCCCAGGACGGCGGGGCCAGGCTGTGGGGAGGGCGGGGGGCCAGGGCAGAAAGGCCTCTGTCCCACGGGGGTTCCCAGGGGACTGGTGAGGTTGGCACCGGGTAGAAGCTCATGGAGCGCGTCCTCTGGTGCTTGAGGTAACCCTGCCCGCGGCCCGGCCTCCGTGGGCCTGCCGTGGGTGAGGCTGGGGT